CACTTAATGAATAGTAATGATATTTTCTCTTATGATTTTAAAAATATTTTCTCTAGTTTATGGGAAGAATACAGTATGTAATATAAACGTAGAGAATATGTATTAATCGACTATTTGTTATCAGTAAGGTTTCTGGTCAACAGGAGGCTATTAGTAGTTAAGCTGGAGGAGTCAAAGGTAATACACAGATTTTTGAGAGCATGAGGGGTCAGCACATTAATTCTCACATTGTTCAAGTGTCAATTGTCATATTGTTTTGTTTTGTTTTTTGAGTTGGAGTCTTACTCTGTCGCCCAGGCTGGAGTGCACTAGCACACTCACAGCCACTGCAGCCTCGACCTGCTGGGCTTAGGCAACCCTTCCACCTCAGCCTTCCAAGTGGCTGGAAATACAGGTGCGCACCACCACATCCAGCTAAATTTTTGATTTATTGTAGAGACAAGGTCTCATCAAGTTGCCCAGGCTGGTCTCGAACCCATGGGCTCAGACAATCCTCTCACCTCAGCCTTCCCAAGTGCTGGAATTACAGGCTTGTGCCACCATGCGCGGCTGTCAACTGTAATTAGATATAAGCAGTTCACATTCTAGAGTTTTAAAGTTTTTGCCATTTTCGTTTCATCTTTTTCCACTCCTAAGTTAAATTTTTCTCTTCTTCTTTTGGAAGAGTCTTCTCATAAGTGATTGTAGGAAAAGATAATTTCCATAGGAGTCCTAAGATTAGTTTATGAATCTTTCCTGGGGGATTCTAACTTTATTGGCTTTTTTTTTTTTTTTGAGTTGGAGTCTCACTCTGTCGCCCAGAGTGTAGTGCAGTGGCCACTCCCGGCCACCACAGCCTCGACCTGCTGAGCTCCGGCGATCCTTCCGCCTCAGCCTTCCAAGTAGCTGGAACCACAGGCGCACGCTACCATGCCTGGCTAATTTTTTGATTTATTGTAGAGATGAGGTCTCGCCAAGTTGCCCAGGCGGGGCTCAGGCAATCCACTCACCTCAGCCTCCCAGAGCGTGGGATTACAGGCTGAGCCACCAAGCCCGGCACTTTATTGGCTTCTAATGTTATGGTACCAGAACTTAGGAAAGTATCAAAGACTACTAGGGCTGACTTAAACTTGAAGGTGTTCACTGGCAGCCTTTGCCAATGAGGCTCCCTCTGGCAAAAGTTGGAACGATTTGGCCATCAATAAAAATAGTAGTTGCAGTGGGATGAAGCAAATTAAATAAGCTTACATCTGTGAGTGTCTTTCTTTTTCACTCCCTCCCTTCCTCCCTCTCTCCCTTCTTTCCTTTCTCTCTTTCTTTTATCTTTTATTATTTATTTATTTTTGAGTTGGAGTCTCACTCCGTTGCCCAGACTAGAGTGCAGTGGCTGCTCCTGGCCACCGCAACCTCAACCTGCTGGGCTCCGGCGATACTTCGCCTCAGCATTCCGAGTAGCTGGAATTACAGGCACGTGCTACCACGCCTGGCTGATTTTTTGATTTATTGTAGAGATGAGGTCTCGCCAAGTTGCCCAGGCGGGTCTC